ACATAGCTTACAGATCTAGTTATTGACACTAAGTGGAAAAGTATAAAAAGTATAAACAAATAGGTAGGGACAATCCACAAAAAAAATGAAGTAGACTGGGGAAAGGTCTGGAAAGACATAAGCAAAGTTAAAGAAAGAAAATGTACAAGCTCTCAAGCTTACAAAGATTGGATTTTTAAAATCAAGCATCTTAATGGTTTACTTCCAACAATGCAAGTTTTGAAACAGAGAAAAAGAAACTTATACATGAATGATACTTGCAAGATTTGCTCCCAAGAATGTGAGACACAAGACTACTTAGCTGAATGTACCAAGTTGCAATTAACTTGAGGCAAGCTTGAAGAAGAAGGCTGCTTAGCTATCGTTAACAAGACAGAAAAAGAAAAAGCAAATTTGAAGATATACAATAAGCAGAAAATAGCAGAATTAGTATTCGGCAAAAGCCTCGATGAAAAAATTTTAACTAGAAAAGAACTAATAAGAGGCATGGTGACCAAGCAAAGAGTCCAAAAGATTAGCTTGTTATTAGAAGAAAAAGTAGTAAAGACTTTCAAAATCCTGCATACCTTGGTTGATAGTTTCTCACACCATTTTCGCAAACTTATCTGGAACCCTCGATGCGAAAAGATAATAGAATGGGAGAAGAAAGAAGGCATCATAAAGAAAAAGAAAATAGAAAATGCAAGGAAAAGAAAAAGCGAAAGAGACAAAGAAACAAGACAAAGAAAATAGAGACCCAACAAGCAGTACAAAAGAGAAAGATATCAGAAGAACCAAAGTTAGCCAAAAAGAAGGAAATCTAAATATGGCCAAAGAAAAGAATAGTTTAACCAGAGAATGGGTCTCGTGAGGAACCAAACCAGCATGGTCTTCACTAGTAAAACCGAAACGATTTTTTTAAGCATGCTTGACATGGCAGACAACAGCCAATTGATGACCAAGAGGGGTACCTTGATCAGTACGAAATCCTTAGAAAGTTAAGGATCCTGAGGGAGATAAATTGTTGTTTTGGCAGGTTGCACTGGGTAAATACTTGGTGAGTCTTTTTTAGATTAGAGCAATACACTATATAGTCAATTATACATGTATAATAGTTAAATAGTGGTTCAAATAAATAAAGACAAGACTGCTTAAAAAAAAAATAATAATAATAATAATTTTTTAATTAAGTTATAAAATATATACTGTATATAGCAGCTAAAATAAAACTTTTAGACAAACTATTTAAATATTATAAATAATCAAAAGATATATATATAGTATAACTAATTATATTCTTATTACTTGTAATATATAGTAGCTAATGCTACTTTCTGTTAATGTTAGTAACAAACACTATCTTAAAATTAAAAAAATACAATGTATAAAATTTTAAAATACCGTATATTGTATAATAAATATACGTATATACTGTATATTTAAAAACTTGTTTAAACTTTACGGCTATTTAAAACAAAAAATATATATATAATTTTTTTATTATGAAAAAAAAGGTTATTTAACGTTAATAGAAACTTTCACAAATTTGGATTTAGTTTTTTTGAAAAGTACGCATGTACAAACTATATCTGGTATCGATACCGATACAATCGATTTAAACTTTAATTATACGTATAATATATATACAATATATATATATATATATATTGTATATATATTATATATAAAAAGTATATATACATAGTAAAAAAGAAAGTTTAAGTTGTCAAATAGGTAATACAAACGATAAAAACAGGTCCTATTACATTTACTAAAAAATGACCCTATAATAGTATGAGAAAAATATCGATATGGACAAAATAAGATTTTCCGGTCAAAGATTTCATCAACACACTTTAAACCACATGCAATTATAATCACCAGTCTAGTATAAAGGTAAATTATTCTTAAGTCTGGAACATACACGTAAAGCGTAAGTCATTTTTTGATACAGTAGAATAGATAAAGGCGATTGTTTTATTTCAAACATAACTAACACATTGTAAATCATGGTTAATTCTTTTCTAAATGTGTATCGGCCGAAACAGTAAAAAAAACTGCATTATAGAGATAATTATAGAGAAATTTAGAAAAAACATTCTTATATTGTTTTTTTATATTTTTGAGCAAGTATCTCAAAGAAATGAAATGTATAACTTGGCCTACCAATATTCGTTGAATAAGAAAAAAAAAAAAAACTTTGTTATTATAAATTTATATTTTTAATGTTACATAATATATTGGATTATGTTTTTGTACAATAAAGAAGTTCAGAAAAGTAAATTCTAAAGAACAGAGAAATATTATTGTACGTACGCATGTAATGTACATATACATGAGTGTACGAACATAATCTATACGTAGTACGTATGAAAATTTTTATCTTAACATTTAATTTAAATTGAATGATTTGTCATACGAAATTACTACTGGTGTTCTTACCCTTTTTTTTGCAGGGTAGTCTTGATATAGTAATGTACTATAAATCTTCGATATCTCCTGTATATCTCCTGTATATTACATGGAGGTTAACAATAATTTTTTATTCGATAAGTGAAAAAAGTTCCAATTAATATGAAACTCTTTTTCTTTGACCTACACGCCGACTTCCCTATTTGTTGTTTTGAAGTATCTAAATTCATTTTTTATTGGAATTTTAAAGGAAGACTGGTAACACAAAACATCTGCATTTACATACAAATTTATTTGTGCATATAAATAAAGACATTTTAAAATTAGCCAAAAAATTTCACATTTTTTTTATTCCCAAACACTTATTATAAATTCAGAAGATACGATCGTGTTTTCGTTTAAGTAGAAAAATTAAGATTTTTTAAAAAAACATGAATACTTCTGATACATCATTTTATAAATTTGTTGTAGTTGATAAAAAAAAAAGTACTGATATTAAAGAAAAACCATTAAAACAAACAGTTGTTACTATGGCAACTCCAACTCCAACAACACTTTCACCCGATGGAAAACAAACCACCGAAGAAAGGAAAAATGAAGAAATTATCCAAAATAATAATGTAACTATAAAAAAGGAAGATCAAGAACCTGAAACTAAACCACGAGAAAAGACGTGTGAGTAGTTTTTGAAAATATTTCCTTATTAAAACTTTATTATTATTTTTTTGGTCAGCGACATATACATACATATTTAAATAACTTTTTTATTATATAGCTGTGATTGGGAATATAATCAATTTGGCAAGAAATAATTCAACTAACCAATCCAAAGGCAGTTCTCCAAGTCCTATAAGCCCTACGACGAGTGTTGCAAGTGTTGTAACAACACCATCAATTTCTGATAACACCTCACCTTCTAACAATGCACCTCGTAGTTCCGCAGTTGATATATCCTCCACTGAAAATACTGTTACACCAGACTCTTCTTTAGTACCACAAGCCCCAGCAAATACTTTATACACTTCGCCCCTTTCTATTTCTCCAACTACTCCCCCTAAAGAAATTACTTCTGAACCACAACCTATACAATCACCGCAAACTCCTCAAACTCCTCAAAAATCTAAACCATTTGATTTCGTTAAAAGAATGATAAAAAAACCTTCTCAACCTGTTGTGTCGGAACAACCTACTGTTTCAGAATCTCCAAATTCAACTCCTGTAACTGAAAGTACAACCACCGATAAAACAAATGGATTATCTGTTACTATTGATTCTGTTCAAGAAGAAAATGATAAAAATTTAGTTGAAGAAACTGTTGTTATTGAAAAAGAAGAAACTTCAGAGCCTGTTACTCGTGATATTGAACCTAAATTAAACGATGAAGTTAATGATGAACTTAAACATCCGGATAAAAGACTTAAAGGTGTACCTAAAGTAAGCGTACGTGAATTTATTACACGCTATTCTAATGTTGTCCTTACCAAACTTCAACAAGAATTTGATGAACTTGACCGAAGAATGTATTCCGGTGTTAATCCAAATGAAGTGTCTACACGTGAAATTGACATTTCAAAAAGTGAACGTGAACAATTATTAGGAAGACCTGATACTGAATCTGATGTACAATCAAATGGTGATGCACGAAGTGCTTTGGCTGATGCTGGTGAAGCACTTAATGAACGTGCTGAAAAACTTGATGATTTAAATGAACGACTTAATGATTTAAGTGGTTCCAGCTCTGAATTTGCTAGATTGGCCGCTGAGCTTAAAAACAGAGAGGCTAACAGAAAATGGTACCAAATTTGGTAGATGTTGTTTTTCGTTTTTTTATTATTATTTGATTAATCATGGTTGTCAATTTTTCTTTTTATAAGAATTGTTATATCATGATTATATTTGAAAGGATATATGAGTAGTATGGGTATTGGAAATAATAAAATATAAGGTCATCTAATTTATATTGTAATGAATTTATTTCTTTGTTTATTTTTGATTTTTTAGTATTTTTAAATACAATATAGTTTTTTTTTTTTTTTTAAAGGAAAAAATTTTATTCCTCTTTTTTTTTTGCTTGATTTTTTTTTTTCTTTTGGGTAGTAAATAATTATTTTATTTGTTTGTTTGTACATATTACGATATTTTTATAATATACATCAATTTCATTACATCTAACATTTATGTCTTGTACTTTTCATACAATTCTATTTATCATTATCTTGTTAAAAAAGAAAAAAATAAATAAATAATAAGATTGAAAAATTACAAGTGTGTATAATGATATAATGATTTAGGAAATTTTATTTGCATGAAAGATTAAATGAAACTCGTTAAAAGAATAATTAGAAAATTGAGAGAGCAATGTATAAATTGTATAAATGAAGAAAAAAAAACGAAACGATTCTTGGATGAAATTATTACTACAGTCAACTCTCTCTAATCCGAACACTATTAAATTCTCTCTAATCCGAACCTAAAACTCTAAGACATTTGTAAATTTTATTATAAAGCATATAATACCTCTTTGAGAACTGAACATTATAACTCATTTTACATATAAGAACGGACGGTTCGGAATAGACAGAGTTGACTGTATAAAGATTAAGGGAATTTTATTTAACTTCCGAAAACATATTATTAAATGCATTCACCAAATTTAGTTGCATAAATTCTTTTTCGCGTCGTCTTAATCGCTGACGTCGCGATACGGATTTATCATCATCTATAGAATTTTTTAATCAATATTATATAGTATTATTCTGATATTCTTATTTTTCTCAATTTCTCATCCTTACCTTCGATGACTTGATACATTACTACGTTCGTTGGTGTCGTTAATTTTAAGTCTTCATAAGCTAGACTGAATTCTAAGACACTTTAATTGTAAAATTTATTATTATTAATTTATTTTCGTTTTTAACAGTTTGATTAGAATTGCTAATTAATATTAATATTAACCTTTCTTTTAACCTAACCGAAAATTCAATTGAATTATATGCATTATTAGATCTCAAATTGGTGACTCCCACGTCTTGCTGCATTATTCTAGCTTCTTCACGTCTGGTAACAAAGGCTTGTAAGTAATCATCAAGAGAATTTATAAACTTCTAAAAAACAATCGAAAATAATTTTTGAATCATACAATTTGTAAGTAAATGATAAAATAATAATAATAATAATAATAATAATAATAATAATACTAATAATAATAGCTCACATCTATGTCTTTATTAAGGTAATCTGATTCCAATTCGTTCAAAGGAATGAAATGTGGTATCGTATGTTTAAAAATACCTAATTGACCATTTTCTTCATTTTGACTAAGAATAACATAATAAGGTTCACGATATTTGCCTAGTGAAAAAAAAACATATACATATATTTTAAATTTTTTTTTTTAATAATTCAGAAAAAATATAAATTTTTGAATTTTTGTTACCTCCATAGAATGTTTCAAACCTCAATCCAACTCGATTTTCTTTTAATGAAAAAATTGTTTTACCAGTGAGACGATATGCTCTCAAGAAATCATCACATTCGCGTCGTTTACTGACCCGAAACATCTCTTGAACCACCTGATTACGAATTCTTTTACTTGGAATAAACATTGCTAAAATGAGAGTTTTAGTGAGTGTGCGATAATATCAACTCCAAAAGACGCGGCATTCCCACAAACAAAAAATGACTAGTGATGGGCAATGCGATTTGCCCATTACTAATTTTGACCAATCAAAATTCGAGATCTGGTGTAACGTGATTGTCAGTAAAAAAGTTGCGCGTAAAGAAACCGCGTTTAGCTATTTTTATAGGACATTCGTCTATTTGGCTTATGTAAATAAATTGCCCGGGTAACTTATTTATACACTTTAAAGTACTTTTTGAGA